ATAATTTCTTATCTCCGGACGGAAGCTACATCCTTCGTGAACTTCCTGACGTGCTGAAACTTTAGTCGTTAAGGAATTCCTTCTAGTTCATTGACTTACCGTAATTGATACGAATAACCGAAAAGCTTTCTGTTGCCCTCCCCTCTTCCCCCCCCCCCTCCTCTTTGAAAGCCGATCGCTCAACGGAGAGAACTGTCGGCGCGCATTGCAAGAATCGAGAGAGAGAGAGAGAGAGAGAGCGAAGTTTATCATCGAAGGTAGATTATTTATCGGTTCGATATTTGATCGATGACGACGCGACATCGGTATGCATTGGGGTTGACCCTCGAAAAGCACCCTCTTTCGCCAGTACAGATAGTACCGGTGCTGCCAGTGCTGGCGTAAGAAGTAAATCACAAAAATGGAAATCCACGATATCGGATTGGAATCAATATTGAATGCAGATTGAATCCCAGGCGCTCTCTCTCTCTCTCTCTCTCTCTCTCTCTCTCTCTCACACTCCTTCCTCCCCTTACCTTTTCCCGCGCGTCTCCAACCGTGCGAGGCCGTGGTAGGGCGAAAAAGGTGCGGAGTGACGGCTTCCATTAGGAAAAAGTGACTTACGGCGCCGATCGACAACGAAAGGCACTTTTCGTCTCTGCTAAAATGTCAGGTCAGTTCGCGAAAATTTTATGCGTAACGAAGGTCACCACCTGACATGACTGCGAATCGAGGAGGTAGACATCACTCGGCGCTAAAGGGACAATATGATGCCCGGGATCGATCATACGTCATTTCTGTATGAATTTAGGTATCACGAGCGTATTCATTCCTCCCGTACACCACTCACGTCTCGATCGGGTACCATCGAGATCTTCTTCACGGCTTCTCTTTAAAGCGTATCAGTTGAATAAAAAGATCCGATATAAGGCAAGAAAAGCGCCGAGAGAGCACAAAGATTTTTATAAATTATTTGACGCAAAAATAATAAGACGTTAACAAATTTTTTTCCCCCTCTCTTGACACACCGCGTGACAGCTAGTATGCGCGACGCGTGATCAGGAGAGCCTGAGGGGATCCCGTCTCCTAACGGTCCAATGCCCGGCATTACTATTTGATGAGATAAAAAGCGCCGCGGTAGCCGACTCGTGAATTTTTAAGGGAGCCTCGCAGGTACCGTTACCTTCCTCGAGTTTCCGAGGTTAGGGGGTGTCGATACCCTGGGGATGCCACAGTAGTCTTCTGCCTTTAATATTTTAGCACGGTAAATTATACGATTCCTCAGCCCCCGCTCCTTGCATACGCTGATCTTCCACTTTCTCCATCTTCCTCTCTGACGTTGGTTGAGAACTTTGATCCGCGTAAATGTTTTTCTATTTGCCGTCAGGCAGGAAGTATTCATAAAATATATGCGTGCACTTTTTTTTATTATTATTTAAGTAAAAAGCGTTTCTAATTCATTCCTATCTAAATTATGTACAACGCAAAATCGTAACGTGAAATTCGCTCTAAAGTGAATCAGAAGATTAGTTTAATGATTCATATAATAATCTCGGAGTGAGTCATGCCCCCGGGATAATTACAGCCCGTTTGCGTGTCTTCAATGCTACATTTATAATTGCTCGGCGCCAGTGTACCATTGGGAGCAGTAAGCTGAAAAGGCGAAAATCAACGGCGGCATCGACAAAGACCGAGGATGATACATAGTGTACGTCTTCGTTTCGAGGAAGCTAATCATCTGCAAGCCGTTTCTGGCCGTTACTGCAGAAATGCATACACGTGCGCACACAGAGAAATTTTCAGCGCGCACGAACTGCGACGATGATTAAGCTCGGAGCGTAATGAGGAAAAAAAAGGGGCGGGCGAACGAGTATATGGAGCGAGGACAACCTTTGGGCGGGTTCTCTGTAGTAACACACCGTCACCTTGCCAAGAACTTAATCAATCCGGCCCGAATACTGAAAGTCTGAAGCCGTGCTACTCTCAGGCGACTCTCTCGTAAGCCTTCCAACGGCGGAAACGAATGAGAGAGGCTTCCGCGCATGAGTATAAAGAATCCGAGCGCAGCCGAAATGGGACGTAAATGCGGAGACGTTCGGACGACGTCCTTTTCTTGAAGCAATTTCAAGATAATGTTTTCGGGGATGTCGATGTTATTTGGTTCGCGATCGATCTATAAAGCTTCCAATCGAAATTCCTGCGAACGCACGCTTCCATATATTTCGAAGTAATAACGCAGAACGGATATGTTAATGAAAGGGGGGAGATAATGTAACATCCAAGATCCTGTCGTGGGAATGATAGGGGAAAATTCGCGACAGACGGATTCCCGGAGTTTAGAGTAGGGCGCACAGCCGAGGCCGAGCGAGGTAGGCGATGGGAGATATTTCTGTTTAATAGTCGGCGTATCACGCCGGTAATGGAAGTCGAGGCGTTTGCATGCTGGGAGGCACGCTCTGGCGCTATAAAGTTAATGGCGTCGTATAGGCGGCGCGATAAAATGATGCATCGCGGTTTGGCGACAATATTATTGCCGACAGCTGTACTTACGTGTTATACCCTCTTTCAGATCTCCATGCGCCCGAATTTATAACTCGCGAAGGAAACATGCATACGTGTGTTTTTTTTATCCCAAGGATTCTTCGATGATATCTCGCTCAAACTCTGGACGAGGATTATTTTAAGCTGCTGACTCATGTTTTATCGATTGTGACGAGATCGCGGTCGTGTAAGATCGCTACTGACGACACACGTGATCGAACGTGAACAACGTTTGTGTCACAACGCTCGTTACTGTGCTTAATTAAAAGCGGCGAATGCATGTATAAGCCACGACACACGGTTGAAATTAAAATCTTCGAGTGACTTTAAAAGTGGCATTACACGTCGTAATGTCAGTCCATTCTTTGCGGAAGAACGCGAGACTCGAAGAGTCTTTCTCTCTTTCTATTTCTCTCTTCGTCCCTGCCGCAAGACTTTGCCCATCGTCTTTCACTATTTCTCGCCGTCTTCGCGCTCCCATCTCCGTGCCGGGCTCACGGACGGATTGTAATGATTAGTATAACGAGGAGAACTGCGGGAGGGGCTTACGGGTAAAGCGCGGATACCGGGAATTGCTCCGCTTTTAATTACCGCCGAGCTGCCGGCTGTGTACACCGACGCCTTAATGCACTGCGGTGCTTAACGAGTAATACGTCGTTATCAACGCTCACGCGGACGGTAAGCGAGGCTCGGGGTCGTAAATGATTTTAACGGTTTTCCAAGGTGGAAACTTGCTATTCGTGCCAATCCCGGGTCTTCGCGAAGCGACGACGGGCGAGAGAGAAACGATAGCGGGATCGAATACCGATCGATGGGGGGAGGGGAGGGGGGAGGAGGCTCGCTTCAAATCAAACTAATACAGGCGCGAGTCAGACAGAATAAGACGGCCGCGAGTAGTCCGTTATCATTGTGCTATTATTCCGTGCAGCGCGTACACGCTCATCGGAAACTTCGAGTCGAAGTTTATACCGGCAGTCATGGAGCGCGCTTATACTTGCGCGAAGCTGCAGGGACGCGACGCTGTTTGTAAGTGGATTATGCTTATAATGGGGCATTCCAAGTCCGTTCTGAATATTGCGACCGTGTATATATACCCCGTATACGCCGGGGTAAATCATGTTCGTATCCACTTCAACCGCGCGTCGCCTGGATTCTCGCCAACGTACATCCTATCCGACAAATTGTGCATAGGATGTGACTTTCGGAGTTCAGCGAATCATATGTAGAAACAATATTGTATATTTATCTGTTCCGCATTGCGGGGATTTCAATGCATTACGGCTGGCCGCGGACTGTTGCCGAGAGTTCATTTACCACTTTGGAGTTTGCAAAATTGCAAACGACGCGCTGTACACACCGCCGGATATAACGTCCTCGGTTAACTATCACGAGAGACGCCACCGCTCGGGGCATCTCTCGAGAGCGGAGATGAATCACCGATTCCTGATTGTGACCTCGTGGAAATAGCTCTATGATTTAACGTCCTATACGTCGTCTACTCTCGTCTCTCTGTGAGACCGCTCGTCCGGCACTCGTCGCGACGCGCGGAGAGCAATTCTTTCGGTAATTTATTGGTCGTAGATCAACGTCGGGGAAACGCTGTTTCGACTCACCCTTATACGTTCGGCCAGGACAATGTCGAACAGCGAGGTCGTTTCTGGCCGTGACAGTCCCGCGGAGCGGCACGCGACGTCCGCAGGAGATCGATCGTTAGGTCCGACGGCGTTTCGGACGATTGGTCTTGCAACGAACCACTTCCGCCGCGGTCGTATTCCACCGACTTACGCGCAGAGCGCATCGCAATGTCGGGAAGAGATTGTTGCACAGTGTAACCGCCATGTAGCAAGCACACATTTGCGAAACTCGCTTTTCCTAAATGTTTTCACACAAGGACATTGCATCGCATTCCGGGATAATGTAGAGAGCTTTGCTATTATGAGAGAAAGTATCCGGAACAACTCCTGGTTACGTTGATGCGATTCTTAAAGCAAAGAAAAAGGAACAGGGAAGAGAGAACGAAGAATTTCGTTATCTTTTCTTGTGAAAAAGCTTCTCTGTAAATCCTGAATATTGACCTTATTCCGACGCGTTTCCAGCGTCTTTCCAGCCGCGTTACGAGGAGCTGCTGCGACAGAGTGACGCAACACAAGGCTTGCAAAATGTGAAGTATGCACTTCTAACACTTCTCGTCAGGTCGAGCGTGTCGAGCGACCGTTCGTAAGAAAGGGGGCACTTACAAAGAGGAGCAGTCCTGCAGATTTTCCTCAAAAGATGAATAATTATGGGATCGCTTTCGAAGTAGAACTCCCTTTGTCTTTCAACGTGAAATGTTCCGGTTTTTTTGGACTTTCGAAAATATATTGCAACAAATGTTTTATACCTGGTACATGTCCGTGTAATAAATCTTCCAAGTTTTCCAATAAATTTTTTTTTAATTTACAAAGCGGTGTGATATAATTTATGTTTTTTCTTTGTTACAGAGGGACGCTCTGAATTTGGAACCCAGCAATGTGGCAAATTGCGTGTCCAAAGGCAAATCAGAGGTAGGTTTCTTTCTCACGCTTCGGTTTGCGGCTCTCTTTTCGCATTGCGCGTCGTCTTTGAGAAGAATTTTAATTCCGGTACCGGCAAACAGGGGCCCGAGTGCGCCCGCGAAACGGGAACGCCAAAGAATTGTGATTACAGAAAAAGACGTCGAATGTAACGTCGAGGAGAGAAAAAAAAGTCACAAACAACCGACGTGATGTAAAATAAAAGGACCGGTTTCTCTGAAGACGCCCAACGGCAAAACGAAAGACGCAAGCTTGCTTTTTAATAGACACTGCGGTGTCACTCCGTACCGTCACGATCGTATTCTCAGATCCCAGAGAGAGAGTGTATCTCATCATTTGTATCTTTAACGCAAAGGGATCTTACCGCGTAGCATTCTTCTTTTCGAATAATTTGCATTAGCTTCTTTCGCGTCTTAATTTCTGAATTAATGTACAAGTATATTTGAAGTTCTGATTAAAAGATAATCTCTCTCTTTATTTCATTTATTTTAATCGAATAAATTTATATAGATTTATGTAATTTTAATAAATCTTAGCATAAATACGTATTATAACGTCAAGAGAGATCTTACGCATGATGAATTTTTTCAAATCGCCATTATCGTGTCCTGGCCGAAAATCCAAAGTGAACCGTGGAACTCTGATTTTTTAACACGCGTTCATTTTTATTCATATCCCGAAATCGCGGTACCATAGCGATAAAACGGGGCACGATCGCGTTCCGCCCCGTAGACACGCGCGCGCGCGCTTATCACGGCTTCATTCGTATGCACCGTGTACGCGTCGTCGTCGAGGTGTAAGGTCCACGCAAATATTCCCTACGTGACGACAAAGCCAATTCATTTCCCGTGCACCGATTCGCCGCGAAATACGCGCACGACGTGATCGACCGCCGTGACGACTCCGTCGCGCCACGCGCGACGCGATCTTTCGCTTTCCCGAAAGAGTCCGACGGTAGACGCGACAGCGTATTGAACTCGTCTGTGCGCGTTATGTTCTATATGTCTGCAACGATTTTCTCATCGCCAACGCACGTCGCGCCATCGAATTTAATTTTCTCTCCGACCTTTCTCTTTCCAGCATTTCGACTGCCGAAACCACATAAGAGTGATACAGCCGATGGCAGACGGCAATCGCCTTTACATGTGCGGTACGAACGCGCACTCACCTAAGGATTGGGTGATTTACGTAAGTTTTCACGTTATTTTTTAATAGAAAAAAATATATATAAAAGACATAACATACATAAGTAGGGATTTTAGTATACATTGCATATACCTTGATCGTCCATCGACGTCTTTAAATATCTTCAATCTGAATGTCATTAAACTTTTCAGTTACAGTATGAGTAATTATTTTTATTTTCTCTCAACAGTAGGATATTGAAACAAATACTGCATTGCTTTCTCAACATCATTCAATTCTCTATTCCTTTTATGCCTCACAAATTGCAATGTATACTAAATTCGTTAAATTTGATTTTGTAATACGCGACAGTTTGTGATTGGATTGTGAAATTGTTAAAAAACGACGATTGGCCGGGCAAAGAGCTGTAAAAAAATGTACATGTAACATTTAAACGTTTGCTGTCATTTGTTTATTGAAAATTGAAAATGCGAAACGATGTTAAATACATCCGCAACTCCCCTTGAAATGTATTACGGATTCAGCGCGATATGTGCAACGCACACCGATTTGTGTTGCTTTACGCTTAATTTAATTAATTAATAACAGAACGCGAGGAGGCATCTGAAAATAATATCGTTAATTAATTTTCGCGTTACGAATAAATTTCACCGCCACTCACGCATTCCTCGGTACGTTCCAATTTAATTCCCGTCGAAATATTTAAAGCCATATAATGAATAATGCTGTTATTAATGGAAATTTACATGCATTATCGCAATAGTAGAAATCCACTCGATGTGATTTGCAAAGTTGCGAGCAAAGTGCATCAAAGCGGTCGGGTGGATGAATGAATCTTGCGCTTAAGCACCCGTGTAACAACACGACAAAAGATACAGTAGTTTCGCTTTGCTAAACATTACGAGTCCCGGGTGTGCTGTAACATCTCGCGCAATAATAACATCTAGCCGCTTACCTAAGCTACTGCTGGGAATTATGGCTACTAAATAAAGTTAAATTACATTGAGACGTTCGATATCTTGTAAATGTATCATATATATATACTAAAATATTATAAATTTATTACACAGCATGGTTCAAAATTATTGTTATTTCTTTCATATATAATACAAATCCATTAATTGACTTGAAATAGACTTTTTTCAAATTTAATCGAGAGCGTTTACTTAATATTCAATCAACAAGATTAAATTGTATAATTTCATTACCTTCCGTGAAGAAAAGATTTTTGCCCTTTAACTCACCCCTTTTGTTAACCATAACGGTTTATTGTCTGCGCCTATCTGACCTTGTCCCTCGAAATGATGTTCTTTCCAGAGCAATCTAACTCACTTGCCACGCCACGAGTTTGTCCCGGGAGTGGGGATGGGCATCGCGAAGTGCCCCTATGACCCTGCGGACAATTCGACGGCGGTCTGGGTCGAGAAGGGCAATCCCGGAGACCTGCCAGCTCTTTATTCTGGCACGAACGCCGAGTTCACCAAAGCCGATACCGTAATCTTCCGCACGGATCTCTACAATCTGACTACCGGTCGCAAGGCGTTCAGTTTCAAAAGGACTCTCAAGTACGACTCCAAATGGCTCGACAGTGAGTACTCTTTTTTTTCTACAAGCGATATCATTAGCCAAAAGCTTATAGTTAAACTTAATAAAGTATCTATATTCGTTGATCGAATCGAAGATAATATTCAATGACTTTATAACATTTCGGCGCGTTCGAATCTTATTCTTAGCGGTAGCTCCTTCCGAACGCGTATTTTCTATAATTACATTTTCCCCCTACGTGTAGATATCGATCGCTACGTCCACCATTACCAGACATACTTAGATCTCCGCACTTCATAGAGAAACCTTTACTCGAAGCCTGATAATTACGGCGTGTCGAGGCAACAATGAAATTTCCATTAGGCTTAGAGCGCGTAGTATTAACGGGAAGAGGGGGCTGTCCTTGATCGGCTAAAAAGCGAAGCAGGTCTTCCTGAAGAAAACCGTGAGCAGGAAGGGTGCTGCTTAGGAAATAGACAGGGAGTGCTTTGAAGTAGGACCCCAGCGTCAGCCGGGAACACGCTTCGGGTTCAAATGGATGCGAATAAACTGCCCCGCCTATTTTCCAAGGGGTACCATCGCCTTCCTCGCCGACGACTCACGCGGAAAAGCAAGGGGAACGGGGGCGGTCGAGGGAGAGAGGAAGAGACGGAGGGGTGTTAGGAGTAGAATTATAGGAGTTTGGAGGGCAATGTCGACGCTAGGTTCGCTATCGGACCGGTTAGAGAGGGTGTGCCGGATCTCTCTCTCTCTTCCCTTTCTCTCTTTCTCTACAAACGGGGTAATAAAATAACACCCCGACGCGATCTTCCTCGTCCTAAACGCCGCGTTCTCGGCGAAAGTACCCTCTCCTTTTTCTCGAAAAAGGAGAGAAAGCGAACCGACTGAAGAAGTTAAAGTTTTCCCGCGCCCGTCCGACGGAAACCGCTCTCCCGCTCTCCACCATTCTCTCCTCGTCTCTCGAGTCCCGCGTAGTTCGCAGGCCCGAGCAGTGCTTTAATCAGTTTTACCGGCTCTCTGATTCGTCGGCTTGGGATTATTGCGATCCTCTCGATTTTTCGTTATCGGAGCGCGAACGTGAGAGGCGCGGCAAGAGCGGCCCGGCAAGGAAATTGGAAAATGTAGATTAGGACGTGCGTCGAATATAGACACACAATCCGACATGGAATTTAATAGCGTAACTCGCGGGAGGTAGGGGCGTAGAGCGCGCGCTGATTTGCGATGATCAAGTGTAAATAGAATCCGATTCGTTAGGTACGTCGGTCGTGACGGGACACGAGGAATACGTCGAAAATTTAGTTATACGAGCGTTTAATATCGAAATCCCGCTCTATCCTTTGACTGTCTACGTTTTAAAATGATCGTCGAGAAAGTCTTGTTCCACAAATAGTTTACATTTCCCATTGAATATTATATTCGTTCGTTAGTTCGTCGAGTCAAATGCACAGGGAATATCGAAATTTTTGTCGAACAAAAATTTTTTTTTATTTATTTATTATCACAATTGTAACACAATTGCTCTTCTTTCGGCCGACAAGAAAATAAGTTGCCGGGATAAAAATTAATTTTAACCTCGTCCTTGTCACACCGCAATCCTTTCGCGGCGAGCGTTCACGCGCGACATACCGGCCCGGAATAATGGCGCAAGACGGTTAGACGGCTGCTTTGTATTTCTCGAGGGGGTTGCTTCCGCTTTTCCTCACTCCGTCGAAGCGTGCCGCCACTCGAACCCCGCTCCTTCAGCCGCCGTCGTCAGGATGGAAGGTCGCGGTATCGAAGCGGCAAAAGCCGGAGGGGACGGTCGGACGACTTTGTCCCACTTTGTATCCTTCGTGCCCTCCCGCGAGACGCATGATTAGCCATTTGTTTCGTCGTTTAATTTCGAGCCAGCAGCCCTTTCGCTACTCTCTCTCTGCCTCTTCCCTTCTCTCTCTCTCTCTCTCTCTCTCTCTCTCTCTCTCTTTTTCGTCCGTGCCTACTCCGTCTCCGAAGCTGCCACCTCTGTTCAGACCCTACAAGCAAGACTACTGAGCGTCACCATCAAGGACCATTCTCCGCATCGAGTTTGTCTATTAACAGAGGCGTTGATTAAAAGCAGGCGAGAGTCCCGGAAGAGACGGATGGGCTCCACGCGCGCTCCTCGTATAATCTTCGCGACTCTCCGACCCTTCCCTCCTTCTTCGTCCTCTCTTCTTCGCTCACAAGTCTCTCTTTCTCGACCTCTCTGGTCTACTCCGGCGGCAAGGGCGAGACGCAATGAAGACTGATGCGGTTCGTGGTGCGAGGTCATGATAAGGAAAACCGGCTCCGCGCGAGGGTAAATCGCGGACTGAAAGGGAGACGAAGAAAAATAGAGAGTGTAAAACGCAGTGGACTTAACAAGCTTTGAATAACTAGCTGACGAACGTCTACTTTCACGGATCCTTACGCGTGCGGAATGATGCTCGAACATTAACGCGCGACCGTCTTCTCTTTTTGCACCGTCCGCGCTGCATTTGAAAACTTGAAGCGCGTCTCTTTTCGTCGCGATGTAACGAGGCGCTCTTCTTCTCGGAGCATAATGGCAATAGCGAGCACTTTCAATATTCCGAAACTCCGTCGCACGTTGCTCGTCAACAGCGCGCCGGGATGCGCAATCAAAAGTCATCTCGCTATGAGACGCCTTGCAACGTCTCCTCTTCGGCAAATTATTTCTCTCCTTCTGCCTCACGGCCCGTCTCCGTCTATCTACAACCGGGGGCTTGTACCGCCCCAATATATCAAACTTCCGCCGTCGAAGCGTCAGACAATCGATTTAATCGTTGAACCGTGAGAGAGATTGCGGCGGCCTCCAGCCGAGCGCCGCCGCATAATGTAAAACCGACGAGAGAGAGAGTGAGAGAGATAGGGGCCCGGGCTCTGACGACGACGCGATTCGAACGTGGAAAAATTCGATTTTCTTCGCCATTTTCTCGCGTCACCAAACTCGCAACTTCGTCGTTGTGCGGGATAAATTAGTTTCCTCGATACAACAAGCAATTACATCAAGATTAAATCACAACGCTTGCTGCTCGCATCGAACTGCGAATAACGCGAATATCTGCGCAATTTATGCCATGATACAAAGGTCGGATCTGAATCTGGTTTTTAGGTCGGACCGCATAAAAAAATCATTGGTGGAAAACCAGTGAAACAAATTGAAGTTGATTTGCAGTAAATTATTTCCAACCGAGGTTTGAGTACGATAACTACGATCAGTGATATTTCTCGATCAGTGCCGCGAAACTGCCCGCCGTCTGTCGGAGCTCACAAACCGTTGGAAAGTTATTTCGGACTCTTTCTCCGCGCAACTTATCCGAAGATGATATCCGAACTCTTATAACTCAACTACGCGAGGTGCAATGATAAAGCTGACTCAATAGCGTTTCTCATCCCGTGTAACTTTTCCAGCTGGACTTCGATAAATTGCGATTTCATTTCAATTATTTGTGCGAGACAAATGTTAAGAAATTTATAAATTAATTTTACGCAAACACAACGAGATTGCACGATTGTTTACACTAAATTCAGTTTCTTTCCTAATTACCACGAAATTTCAAGCGACGCAATCAAAGTATATTGTTTCTAATCTAGCTCTGCTGTACGTAATCCCGTTTTTTACTCTCCCTTTCTCTCACTTCCTCCTGAAACAGACGCGAAATAATAGCATTGCCTACGAACTGCCTGCGGTTAAACGGAATATTCGGGGGAGATTATTGTCCGCGTTTGAATGGAGCTGGAACAGTCCCGGCGATGGAAGTTTTTACGCATAGAACGAGCAAGGACACCTTCTCGCGCACCACCCGCGGCGAATACTCGATTCGCGATTATTATTGTGCGCGATTATTGCGGAGTATTTACGCGAACTATCTGCTCTAGATGCAGTTATTTTGCTGTAGAATGAGGTAGACGCTAACGGCTAGATACGCGACCGTATAAACTCGCTGGCATATTCCGGTTGAACAATTTTGCAACTGCGAAATATTGTCTCGGCGAGGAATTGCGTGCGTGGAATCGTGAAAATTGAAACGGATTTCGAAGCGCTCGAAAATGTAATATTAAAGGACTAATGATGAGGGTAATATCGCGTCTCTTTATCTTTTTAGAGCCGAACTTCGTGGGTTCGTACGACATTGGCAGCCACGTGTTCTTCTTTTTCCGCGAGACCGCGGTCGAATACATAAACTGCGGTAAAAGTGTGTATTCCCGCGTGGCGAGAGTTTGCAAGAGGGACACCGGCGGTAAAAATATACTCGCGCAGAATTGGGCCACATACCTCAAGGCCAGATTGAATTGCTCGATACCCGGCGAGTTCCCGTTTTATTTCAACGAAATACGTGAGTACTGGCGTGTTGTACAACACGATATATATTTTTTGCTGCGTGACATTTTTTCGTACTATAGATAACTCTCACTTATCTCTATTTTTTTCACATTTAGAATTTAGTATTTTTCGAGATGTTTATTTAGGTTATCTTTCTTTCTAATAAAAACATTGAATATCTATAATGATGTATAATAAGATCTTGATTTTTTATGGGAAAAAAACTATTTTCACTACGATTGTGTTCATATTTTAACCGATATGTTCCGACGATATGTAATTGCATTATTGCGTACTTGCTGTCGCTCAGAGAGCATTTACAAGGTGCCGGGTGACGACACGCATTTCTATGGTACCTTTACTACATCGACGAACGGACTAATGGGCTCCGCGATATGTTCCTTCCACATTGACGCCATCCAAGAGGCTTTCCGCGGAAAGTTCAAAGAGCAAGCAACTAGTAGTAGCGCGTGGCTACCGGTTTTGTCCAACAAGGTGCCGGAACCGCGCCCGGGCCAATGCGTCAACGACACGGAGTCGTTGCCGGACACCGTCCTGAATTTCATAAGATCCCACCCGCTGATGGACTCCGCGATCTCGCACGAGAACGAGAAGCCGGTCTTCTACAAGCGGGATGTCATGCTCACGCGATTGGTCGTTGATAAGCTACGCATCGATTTCGTGGGCATCGATTTGGATTATACCGTCTACTACGCCGGCTCCAGTAAGTAAATTATCGAATGTCTGTCATCGACGAATACAAACGCGATCTGATTATCTCCCCCACCCCCCAAACCGATGTAAATGCCTGAACACGTGCCTCTTCGTCGCGTGTTACAGGCGATGGCCGCGTTCACAAGGTTGTACAGTGGATCGACAGCAATGGCGAATCCCAGTCGATCTTGCTGGACGTTTTCGACGTCACGCCGGGCGAGCCGATACAAGCGATGGAGATCTCGAAGGAGCATAAGGCTCTCTACGTGGCGTCGGATCATCGGATAAAGCAGATCGATTTGGTGATGTGCACACGGCGATACGACAACTGCCTGCGATGCGTCCACGATCCGTACTGCGGATGGGATAAGGACACGAACACGTGTAAACCCTACGAACCAGGGTAAGTGCTCGTCGCAAACGCGATCGCGAAATTGCGAATACACCGTCGCGCGGGGCGCAATTTATAGTCTCTAATTTTACGCAAGGTGCACACGTGTTATGCGAAACAAAGAGTGAAACATATATTTGATTTTCGTCATAATTTACTCGCTTGATTACGAATTACGGGCACGCAGATTTCGAAGCAGAAATATTCGCGCCGATTTTACGCATCGTATATTTCAGTTTACCGCAGATTCATTTCCGTCCGGTGAAACGAAATACTTTTACAAAAATAAAAAAATAAAAAATAAAAGGAAAAAAGAAAATTGCAGCTGGCGAATCAAAAATTCAATTTCGGAATATTTCGGAATAAAATAAACGGCAATGTGAATGTACGAAATTACGTACTTGCGACAGAATTATCGCGTGTAAATATAATTGTGACTCTTGATTTCTCTTTTCGCGCAGTCTTCTTCAAGACGTGTCGAACACCACGGCGGACGTTTGCGACAGCAGCGTCGGCAAACGGAAACTGGTTGTCACGTGGGGGCAGTCGGTGCATCTGGGTTGCTTCGTGAAGATGCCGGAGGTGCTAGCGAATCAGGAGGTACGGTGGTACCATTACAGCAAGGAGAAGGGAAGGTATCAGATCGCGTACAAGTACGGCGCCGGCGGCGACAAATTCATCGAGACCTCGGAGAAGGGTCTGGTGATCGTCGGCGTGAACGAGCAGGACGCCGGTAGGTACGACTGCTGGCTCGGCGGCGCTCTCCTGTGCTCGTACAACATCACCGTGGACGCGCACAGATGTTCGGCGCCCGCCAAGTCCAACGACTACCAGAAGATTTATTCGGACTGGTGTCACGAGTTCGAGAAGTACAAGTCGGCGATGAAGAGCTGGGAGAGAAAGCAAGCGGTAAGTCGATTCATCTTTTACTCCTCCCCCCTCCTCTCGAATCAGTTCGTAGCGTCCGATAGATAGATATTTCTTCAGATGCCGGGAGCATTTTTATTAAACGCGAGCGAAATGACGTTGCCGTATATCTCAGATATTCATATCATCCGTCCGTCATGTACGTATATATATAGAACCGTCATAAACCGTAATCGAGCCGTTCAAAATTTGCATTGCAAAGCGAGGTACAATTCAGCGGATTCTACGTATATTCAGTTATCTTTATATGCATCGGAACGGATGGACGGAAATTAAATATTTATCACGAAATTGCGCGATGCGAGGTAGAGAGTTTATTGTGGGAAAATACACCTACGGGCGTATAGTCCGTAAATCGATAATGTGTATCGATAAATATAATTGCATTTGATAGCGGCAAATGAGAATTACTCTGTGATTGTTCAAAATCGTTCGTGATCTTTTATGTATTACGCAACGACAACTCTTAACGCATATCGAAATCATTACAATTTGCACGGCAAAATTATTAATGTGGCTAGTCCATTTTACGTTCGGTCTATATAAATATTTGCGCTCGTATTAAGGCGATTATTAATATTTTATTATATATCATAACAGCATGGGTTTATAATAATCTCTTATAATTTACATGAATACTCTGATCAGTTGTAATCGGTTGTGATATTTATTTATATTTATTTACGATTATTTCGCGAATCGATTTCACGCAAGTTTAGCGATCGTCGATATCTACAGTTTCGAACACGTGGCATGCAGTACACGAGGCAACGTTTTAATGCACAACATATTGGGGAATCGAGATGCAGCTCCCTTCATAGCCCCGACGCGTGTCCTCTCTCTGTTTCAGCAATGCGCCTCGAGGCAGAACGACAGCAATCAGAATCTACACACGAACGAGGTGTACGGCACGCCCCTCGTCTGATGGAGCCGATCGTTGGGTCCCTCGTCGAGCCGAGATTATGATGACACGATGATACGCATAAGTGTCCCGCCAAGGAATCGCGGCTGGACCATGACCGGTTGGATCGGCCTGGCCTTCCTGTTGGCCGGTCACGCCACCGCGCTCGGCCCGTTGGTCACTCGAGGACTCTTATGTGACTGAGCGCGATTCGCGAAACCGGTGAACTCTCTCCGAATACCTTAAAAAAGGTGTGAGAAACGCGTGATCGATCGTGCATACTGCTATCCACGTGCCACGGTGTCGCTGCCGATCGCGAGTGACCATCGAATTTATTTGGCGGTCGGTGACCCGCGAGAATATTCCAGTTCCATTCTCGTCGCGCACCCGAGACTTTCCGTTACGTAAATATATATACACAATACGTATATATTTCGCACTCGAAATATATTGTATATATGTATATATATTTCGTATTCGCTTCACTGTAAATAAATGTGTCGCGCGCGAGCCGCGAAAGTGAGACCGGACGCTGAATGCCGCGAAATTACACGAGCGCGAGAGACACAGCGGGACGATCCTCGGCTCGGTAAATTTCGATACTCGTGCGCAATCGCGCACGGAGTGATGTTCCTCGGGGTGAACGGACGATACCTCTTGTGCCGAAGAATCGTGGAGACAGTCCTCGATTCCTCTCACACCTGGACCGATCGGTGGCTGAAAGCTGTACCGGAGTAAACGCGCAGTTCCCTTTCCTTGGACTTTTAATTAATTTGCGAGACGGAAGGAAATTTTATGTGTATATATACGGATATCGGAGCCTCATTTACACGGGAGACAACGCAACGTTGATCGCGATATCATTGTGACCGAGATATCGATTATCGATGGAACGTCAACATCAAGCGGTGCGTCGAAGGGAGAAAGGCGCGTTTCCCTGCAGTTGTTTTCGCATCCGCGATAGGGGCGACCGACGAGCGAGGTCGAGGTGGAGCTTCCCGACAACGAGGGTGGGGGCATCGATTGGAGAACACACAGTTCGCAAACGGCAAACGGCTCGCACCCGCGAGGCTGAGAAGATGCGGCGGAAAGTCGGAGGAAAGAAAGGTAAAACCATCGCGTCGCGGAATGGAGCGAGGAAAAACGAAACGTGGCCGACGGGCGCGTTTACGATGTCACGCAGGTTACATATGAGATTATTATCGGCTTTAGAGACCTTCGTGCGAGCCGCCGCTGCGCTGCTGCACTCGCGCGACGCTGGTTAGCTTTCCATATCACGTTCGCCACTTTTGCGGCGCGCACACGCCTATTTTCTACCTGCACCCCTCAAACTCACCCACCCCTCCCTCTCGACACCGGCGCGTTTTCCTTCATTTTTCCCTTCATATATCGCATCTCGACGATCGCGCGAGCTACCGCCTGTTATCTTTTGTTTGCGGGAACCTTCGTGTCGTTCTCTGATCATCGCCCATTATTCTTCGCGTATACCCACCTGAGACGCATGACGAAACGAGCGCGCGATGACGCCGCGTTTTTATCCCTCCCCGCACATTCGCATTGTGTGTTGATAAAAGCGCGTCGTACTCGCGTGTCGTGTCGTGTCGCGCGGAACCATCAAAAAACCGCGTCGGGCTCCAGTTCGCGAGGAACCACCACCTCGAGTCCCTTCGCGACGCGTCGTCATCGTCGAGAACCAAACAATCCTCTCCTCCTTTCCTCTCTTCAAATCAAGGTGCTACGCGGGTCTATTTCCTCCAAGGGAAATCGGAAAGACCCGTGGTCTCAGATCCCCGCATACATTTCCTTCAAGTGCGCGTAACCTCGTTTTTTTTTTAATCCGATTCTTTCCTCACGGACACACACGCGCGCGTGCGCGCGCGCGCGCGTACACGAGAAATGCGTATATGCACTTAACGAGCGATCAACGGCGACCGTTATGTATACGCGCCCGTGCACTGTACATAATACCGGACTTAGAGGAGTCACGTGTACACATTTTCCGCTTAGATAAGTCTAATATTAGCGTAGGGGATATACATGTTTGCTTATAAGTTTTCGATGAACACGGCCGGAGAGAGATCTCTCTCGTTGCATCCCGCGGTATCGCTGAGCAAACCGGAGTGAACGACCGCCGGCAAAACTAAACGCGGATGCTCTGGGGCACACATCGAGGCGGGCGATCGTTTGGACGACTTCCGGACTCGAGAGACTGCGCGGGCTGTCGGAGCCAGCATTGCGTTCCTTTTTTTTTCCGCGTATACATCCAACACTTACACGTGCTTTGGCATGGAAAAGCCTACGGCGCGCGGCGTCCGTGAAATCTGCTTCGCCCGAAAATCAACCGGAGCACTTCGGCATCACACCGTTACTTGATTTATCTTGAGATATTAAATACGTCGATTATTACCTTTTTTTTAATTATCATTGGCTTTCGTTACGCTCCATTTTTCATACCGCTCGAGAGCTTCTTTCGGATGTGGGAACGGGCGTTTCCGAGTTCGTGATTATCTGTACATAGATAATAGCGTTATATTTTTATAAAAAAAAAATGACAGGGAAGACTTACTTGCTAAAAAATAACGGCATGATTTTAATGTATTGTTAGTATTTCGACTATTCGCTTTCAGTCAAGTTTGATTGGACGCGAAAAAATAACTGGACTTTGAAATAAACAAATATTTTTCGACACGTAAAATGACAGAAATTCAATTTTGCCATGCTTCATCGCTAATTTTGCAAGTTGCGTACGTCCTCGTTTATAGCAATCGTCCATGAAAATATGCAAAACTCGCGCCATAGTGGAAAATAGCGTTCGTGTTTAGCGTCCGTCCGACTTTTCCTCGGAGATTCTCGACATACATTTTATAATCAACGCGACAACAAGCGGTTTAATCGGTGCTCATTTAGCGCGGTTTGTCGAACGATCGGCGTATCGAGATAGCACCCCAGCCAAGCCATAATCAGCACACAATACACGTAGGCTATAAAGAGTAGTAGGGGAGGTCATGACGCCTTTCTACACACGGATTTCAGTTCCCACAAGTAGTTTGTCGCATCGGCGCATAGTTTTCGCTCTTACTCTTAAGTTTTTGTAAATAGACAATTTAGATAAGTAATATCTACAGTATCCTCGGTAATACAGCAGCGCGGGGATGCCCGATCGAGCCTCGGTGCGCGCGCGTCTGTTATTAACTTCTGTACAGATATCGTCGCGATTGAAGACGATTTACCTTTTGTACCTATAAGGCTCAACCTATACGAGATGGTATGCGATAAGTGGGAGGGACTCCGATAAGGAAACCGCTGAAGGAATCTGAGAGAATGGCGGGAGTTGTACCTAAGCGAGATCTAGGAAGACGTAAGAGAGTAAATACAATAATCTAATCCTCGAGTATGTACTTATTATGAGCTTCAACAAGTATTGAATAGTATTATGACGTAGGATTTAAGACGGAACACACGTTAGGGATAAAATCGAGAGACTTTCGGATCGACCGAGCCAGCCGCGAAGTCGCGCGGATCGACGAGGATTCCGTTGCCCCTCGAAAGTTTCTCTCGTCGCTCTTGAAAATTTTCGCGCAGAAGACCTTCGCGTTTTCGAACGAGAACGAGGAGCGAACTCACTCCTCGTCGATCCGCTCGGTCCACTTGTATCTACAAATCATCCTTAAATTCATCCAATCATCAACCGACGTCCCGGATCGTACTAGATCGCAGACGTGTCTGGATATATAGAGAGGAGCAAAGAAGAGCGGTCGAAAGAGTGCTATGTACGCGTGTTTGCGTATGTGTGCGTGCGTGCGTGCGTGCGTGCGTGCGTGTGATTGCGTGATGTCATGGATTGATACGTAAAGAATAGTAACTTACCTATCGTATATTTAAAGAAAGTTATAAAAAAAAGAGTAAAAGCAAACGTAATATTACGATAGAATAGTAAAGTACACGAACTTTGGCTAAGAGCGCCTTCGTGCAGTCCTCGTGGACCACGTAACGCCATGTCATCCCGCGCGTTTACGGTGACGGGGGAAGAGAAGGAGGGAGGGACGGTGGGTCGTATCGATCGTGAATGATGGTCCCCCGGTTCTTGCCGGATGTGCGAAGAAGTGCGTGCCCGATGCGAGTGCACGAGGGCGCGCTTCGGGTTGGAGTAGGCGTGATCACGGAAAGCAATCTAAGTTGAACCTAAAGTTGTTAGATATATTATTTGTAAGATTACTGTATGTTGCGTGAATGCGATTGATGCGGCGGGATATCGCGAGCGGAACGATCGATCGGCGACGTAGAGAGGAAAGGTAGCCTGCCCCGCCAGCGAGGCAAAGTAGTTTCGCCGCTGTTCGTCGAGACGTCGAGCTCGAAACGCACCCGAACGTTAGAGAGAGAGGGAGAGAGAAAAAAAAACAGACCTCAAGACATCACTGCCTGCGAAATCCTAATCGATTATCCCGCAACGTCGACCGCGAGAAGGTGAGATAGACTATAGAACTCGGTTTAATGTAATGCGATACGAGACGATTTTGGGTGACGAGCCCTACTCGTGGTTACTCGTGTAAGGGAAAACGCAAAGGGGGAAGCGACGCCCTAACTGAATAATTAGTTACGATGACATTACTACTACGATAGGAGGAAGGAAAAGAAAGATAGGACCCGCGATAACGATTTATTAAAATATATCACTAGGACTAGCCGACGACTGTCTTAGGTTTCAAGTATCGGAAGCGTAGACTCGTTTCTCGGGTGGTGTAGCGAAGGAAGGGGGACGGGACGGAGAAGGATTTGCTACACATGGCGCTGCGTGTACCCTTTACTTTTTTCAACCTGAAGATCACGGACGCGGAAGAGCGGGAATGATTCGTTTGACCGATTTCCTCTTAATTTCGCCCGCCTTTCTTTCCGCTCTCGTGTCACCGTGCGCCGTTTTTCTTCCGTTTTTCTTTCTTCCCCCGCCCATTTTTTTTACGGATATATCTTGCCTTAAAGCAGAAAATTGGAGCGAACTCGCGCGCTCGCGCGCGAGATTAATAGTCCATTCGTATCGTGGAAAACTCATCCTTCATCATCGCCGTATTTTTCTTCGTTCCTTCGGTTCGCTTCTTTTTTGCATTTTGCTCGTTCCTGTCGACAGCAGAGCGATCAAGGGTGGAAATTAGGGCCGGGCGGCAGCGCGCCGTGAGTCGTTTTGAAGCTCGTAGGAGAGCCGATATACCGCTTAGGGGAATTCAATTTAGCCGCACGGTGTAAGGGACGGATCCGCGCAGCGCTCGAGGTAACGCCACCCGCTACCTCGGGCATGCATCGGCGCATCGGCAGTTTTGTTTATGGAACGTAATCGTGAATATCGATCTTCCTCCAAGCGCCCCCGCCAAACGTTCTATTTGTTCGCACCGGGCGATATGTTTATCGATTAAATCAATTCGGCCACACGCGTCATCAGCCTGCGCTCGTCCAACGAGAGCACAGTTCTTTCTGCTCAGAATAAAAGTAACTTTTCGAAAGGTTGCGCAAAATTTTATGTTTAAAATCATTTCTATCTCGGGATTAAATCAAATTTTATCGTTCATATTATAATTATGAAGAATTGTCTTGTAAATTCTGCAGCTGCTTTGGATTGAGAACGAAAGCGGAATCCCGCTGAGTATACTGTTGTAATTTTAATCTGCGTTGCGCACGATCACACGCGATATACGATCGATCGATTCACGGTACGCGCCGCCTAGAAAAATTCAGACTTATCGACACGTATGTGCGATTATCATCGTTAATAACACGACCGTAGGTAATTTTTAGTTCAAAGAATTTCGTACGATAAGAGACCCTTTTAGATATTCACCTATTACCTAAACCTAAACATCCAATCGCTATTTTTATCAAAAAAAAACATGTTAAAAATCTTTAATAGTTATCCATTGTTCACTATTGCTATAATAAAGTTTTGCTTTAATAAATGATTGATCTGTACGTAATTATTTTACCCACGTTCCCATGACTTGTCGCAAGACTGCGTAAGAAGCGCTATAAATTGTATAAGTAGTATACCTCAAAGATAGACATTTGATACGCATAAAGCTCCTGTTTTATTGAAAGGATAGGCCACTTATAGACTTTATTCAAGTCTTCGAATAATAGAAGAAGGACACCGAGGAGCGCGCCAGAAACCCCGCAGGTAAGTCCAACTCCTGTAGAACACAACTGATCACGGATGCTTTCCAGTTCGTCGACGCCGTCGACGGCGGCGGAGGGTGGAGGCATGAAATTTGCGACCTCGTGACGCGCAAAATGCAATCAGCGGACCGCGAGAAAAAGGATTCGAACGTCGCCCGGAGCGACGGCGAACGGCACGGTATGCTTCGTTCGAGCATCACCTCGATCGATAGAACAACCTTAATGCCGGTATATACTCTCCATTTGAATAATTACGGACTTCACGGTACACATGTGTAGCCGCGGCTATAGACCTCTAGCTGACGGACGTCATCGACGTCCGACTTAGAGGGATGGACGACGCCTGCGTCACGGCGTCGTCTCGCGAGCTATTGTCGCGATAGGGTTCTTGATCCATTGTGACGTCATCGGAACGATAACCGCGTTCGAGCGGTCTACTCTTTCTCGGACGTACGCTTCTTTAGAACTCCGTGACGTGGGCCGATTGACTTCAAAGGTGCGCTTTGCAATGTTACCACGCTTTACCGCGGGCGGGTTTGCTGCGGGAAAGGTCGTGGGAAACGTGCATGCGATGTTCCCACAAACGGGGTTGGATGTAAAGGCGTCCTGAAATCGACACGCCTCGTCGGTGTCGATGTTTGTTGTATTTAAAGAACGCTCGAGTATAGCTCATGACATATGACACAGCTCTGCCGTCATAGATTTACGCGATTTTATCACTTACGCACATCTCACGGACGCACGCGAAGACTATATATAGGTACTTTCACGGTTTCAAGAGGCGAGAAACCGAATTAGGTGATCAACCGAATGATGCAGCGAAACGAAGAATTCTTCAGTTTCTCGTCAGTATTCTTATGAAAGGAAAAAGAGTATGGTACGAGCTCCGCGAAAGTATACGAGCTGGGAAAATCGATTCGACTTAGATCGTATCTTGAATCCGAAATTCCTAAACTCACGCGGAATTCAATTTAAAAATCTAATCCGATAAAAGCGATATATCGACACGTTGCCGCCGCGCTCGGAACTCGCGCTCCGGTCCAGCGAGGTTCGACGGCTCGTATTAAATCGGCGCGAGTCTATTGATCTTAACTTTGTTAGCCATGCCAAACGCCGATGAAAGATATATACATCGGCGCCGATACGGAGATTGAGTTCGACTATCGCTTGATGGTTCGCGGGCGCGCGTGTTCCATAAGTGGTTACAATCAACGGTGCTTTGCTGTCGCCATTGAATAAAACGTATTCCCGGTGCTACTAGAGCACACGGGGCGGTGGACCCATTGACGGGCACGTATCGATGATAACGAGCGATACCTGAGTGCGTAGCGTAAACTGCAAAACGCAATTGCCGTCAAAGCGGCGCGTTTATGGTCGTCTTTATCGCTCTGCCTCTACGCGCCCGGCGCGTCCTTTGTGAATATTTCAGTTATCCGCGGCCACTATTCCAAGGTTTTAATGGAAATGCCCGATCCGCTTTAATTAACTATTACGAACTATTCGAGCGTCCGAATTGTTGGAGGCACGGAGGGGAGGCGCATGTCGAATGTTTATTCTTTCGCGTATCCCGCGCATCACGCGAATATTTGCACGTGCGGTATCCGCTAGTTTATATTCGTTTCATATTTGTGCCACGGATATATGCACGGGAGTTTATCCACGAAGCTCTGTGCCGCTTAATTCACTTTACTCTTTCTGGAAATACGTGTGTGTATGTGTGTACATATGAATACAAAACCCGATACTGTTTTGTTAGAAACAACTCATATTACAATGCGCAATGCTATCGCGCAATGTATACCCGTAGTAGTACTTTTGATTCTCATTAATAATGCACAGTTGCAAATGGGTTAAAATATTTGACGCAACAGTGTATTATATATAATTTATTAATTCCTACTTACATTTGATATTTGTGGTGTAATACACTGATGTAGAAACTATATTAATTAGTTCAGGGAATATTTACGCCCTTGTTATTTACGCTATTGTTATTTACGCTCTTTTTGCATGCTAATAATATAATAATATAACGGCAATATTCTCGCTCCCTGAGAAAGTCTAATTAAAAGACATAAAAATATCTACTGTCCCGTCTTATATTTCCTCTAAAAGAATTGACCCGTAAAGAAAAGGTATTCTTGTTCGTGCTATTTTCGTGATGTAGATTAAGATCAGCTGAAGCAATGATGACGTCAGAAATAAAAATATATTTGCCGTTTCTTTCTTAATCCGCTTAATTATCTGACGCCCGAAGGTTTAGAATTGGACGGCACAGGACGGATCAGGATTCAAAACTAATGGCCTAAGTCCTAGCTAATCCCGCGATCCATTAATATATCGCTTCCTCGTTTCATTTCTCCATCGCGACATTCTCCACCCATGATTAGCGTATCATTGTCCGCTTGCCACTTTTGTTCTCCTCCCCACGTTTCTATCACGCGGAATGATTCATGCATTGCTATCCTCCGCTTGTGCATGAAGTAACCAATGCAAATCGGTTAGCCCCCCGCCGATGCATTATCGAGATATCGACCTGCCGCGACCCGTATTTCCAGCATCACCGCGATATAATATTAAAAAATCACTATTCGAAACCAGTCAGCCGCAAATCGATTTAACTTCGCGATAGCCGCAATTCCCGTTTTAACCGTCATTTGTCTTGCGTTCAGGACAACCGAATCGTAGTCCGTTGACATTTTTCGAATCCCCGCTACGAGTTCTCGCCCTATTTCAGGCTTCACATTCAGCTCAGTGAATCGCTTGTTAAATTTACATGCGCCGTTTTACCATTTTATCTGCACGCCAATGAATTTTCGCAAATAAGAATAAAAAAAAATATAAAAAAACAGAAGTAGAGCAAGATCACGTTGATGCAACGTGCATTTATCTTATGGTATACATTTTTACCCTTAATATAATCTCATTTCTACCTGAATTTAATTTCGATCTTCTATCCCCCTTTATCGCTGAGCATCATTCTGTAGAATATATAAATTATACAAATAAAAATTTTATGTTGTACATATTTGCAACAGATTTACTTGTTTCATTTTAATTTTCAATTCTCCGCTCCTATCGTTACCTTTTGCTTACAAGGTTGATCGCCCTCTTCATCTCTTCGTTAATCTCCCAGTTTTTTCTTTTTACAGCAACCATCTCTTCCGCGCGCGAGTGTTTTTTCTCGCTCTTCTCCTTTTTTTTTACTATATTGGATGGGTGGCGAAATTTATAACGCCACCCTCGAGGTACAAGGATCTAAGCGTTAAGGCTAACGGCCTCCACTATCCGGCGGTATACGACTCTACTACACTCAACGGCCTGATAATGCTTTACTTGCATTATGGAAAACAGTTCGTTAAAACCGTATTATCCGCTCCGCCGAGCGGCGGCGCCGGCCAGAGGCTCAGCTGCGTGTTAGGCGCTGCTGTATATCGCGATATATCGCCTCTCGATGGTCTTCGCCGTAACAAGTACTTCGAGAATTCATGAGGAAACTTGGAGGGTTCAAAGGGAGAGACCTTAGCGCCGTCAAGGGTTGCAATAGCGGGTGATACAGTTATCAAGAACCTGGACTGTGACCTACTGCATACAATACCCTTCCCCTCCTCCTTTCCGTCTCGGTATCCTTCGTAGATCCCTTTGATCTGAAGAAGGAAGATGTCCAATATCAACTAATACAATAATAGTAACCGGAGTCGAGAGAATGATTATTTTGCGAAATTAATTCGTGAAACAAAATTAATATTTTCTTATAATAAAAGATATCTAAGAAAGAAGGTAAATAAAAAGCTTAATTTTCGATATTCGTGACGTCGTAATTACTTTCTGATGGTCTTTGGTAAACTTAATAATTCATTAATAATCCTAATATTCTTTTCCGTAACATCTAATTAATGATACTAAAGCGATATAAATAATTTATGTGATGTCGTATAAATAATATGATGATGCCATAAAGTCATAATGTATCTTCTAGTGACATACTCTTCTTACACATGGAGGACGGATTCTCAATTCGAATACGGTATTGTCTTCGACTTCCGTCCTTATCGCCGGTTCCCCGGCGTAGCTTCCAAGATTGTAACGCGCGACGAAGGAATCTCCTAAGTTCTTAAGGCTCCGGTCGAAGCCACCTCGATCTTCGACCGTGTCGTGTTACCACGCCCACTGACTGCGCCGCATCTATCGTCTCATTGTGCTTTAAACAAAGCGACCGCCGTGAATTGTCCGCGGGATTTAATGAAAGAAGAATCCCCGCAGTCACCCACCACCACCTACGTCCGTATCCCGCGGGGCATCCGGCATCAAATCTTCCGATCGATTCCTGAATTTATATCGCGGCGAGGCCGCGAAATAGGCGTGGAATCTGTTAAACGAACCGTGAACCGACATCCGAGAATTTTTCATTGAACAGAGGAAAATCGCTTCGCGCCGTCGGTCGGAGCGCTCATCGCGAATTCCGTTTGAGAGCCGTGGCACGAGATTGCTTCATTTTTGACTGTCTCTTAATTAACGAACGCACGAGGAAATTGCGGGCGATTCTATATTGGTAGAGGCGAGTGATTAATCCGCTCTACTATTTTAAGCAAGGCGAAAAACTGTCAGGAACATTATGGATATTTAAATTTTAACTGACGCGCCCCAGCGTGATCGTAGGAGTGTGCACTACAAATGAAAGCTCTCGTTGTACCTCGGACTCGTTACCGCTATTTAATCCTGTCGTCAACAGGCATGTTTCGATACTCTACGAGGCTGCACGGTGACACGTCCATAGCAGAAAAAC